GCCTGGGACATGAACGGCGCGAAGCGACCTCAGATGCTTCTGACTCGAGAGGAGGAGATGGCGGGCGAGTTGTGACATGTGACGGGAGCGTAGACCGCCTTGGTGGTTGATGTATGCAACGGTCGCGGTGTTGTCCGTACGGACCAGTACATGCTTGTCGTGTAGCAGTGATTTGAAGCGGCGCAGAGCAAGCCATACTGCTTGCAACTCGAGGCAGTTGATATGCCACTGCAGTCGGGGCCCCGACCAGAGCCCCGCAGCTGCATGCCCATTGCACATGGCACCCCAGCCCCTGGCAGAGGCATCTGTTGATACAACAACATGCCTGGATACTTGCCCTAGGGACACTCCTGTCCGAAGAAAGGCAAGATCTGACCATGGGCTGAAAGTCTGACGGCAGGACGGGGTGACTAAGACCCGGTACGTGCCGTATCGCCATGCTGTGAAGCCAATGCTGAAGCGGTTTCATATGAAGCAACCCGAGCGGTGTGACAGTGGCTGCGGATGCCATATGCCCCAGGAGCCTCTGAAACTGTTTCAGTGGAACCACCCTCTTGCGCTGGAAAGACCCCAGGCAGTTCAGCATCGACTGCGCACGCTCTACTGAGAGACGTGCTGAGAGGTTGACCGAGTCCAGCTCCATGCCGAGAAAAGAGATTCTCTGCACCGGGGAGAGTTTGCTCTTTTCCCAGTTGACCCGAAGCCCCAACCGGCTGAGGTGACAGAGCACCGTGTCCCTGTGTTTGCACAGCTGCGCTCGAGACTGGGCCAGTATGAGCCAGTCGTCGAGGTAGTTGAGAATGCGAATGCCAGCTTCCCTTAATGGAACAAGGGCTGCCTCCACGACCTTGGTGAAGACACGAGGCGACAGGGATAGCCCGAAGGGGAGGACCTTGTACTGATATGATCGCCCTTCGAATGCAAAGCGGAGAAACGGCCTGTGTCGAGGGAGAATCGAGACATGAAAGTACCTGCCATTGAGGTCGATCGCTGCGAACCAATCGAAAGGACGGACGCATTGAAAGATGCATTTCTGTGTCAACATCCTGAACGGGAGTTTGTGAAGGGCCCGATTCAGCACGCGCAGGTCCAAGATTGGTCGTAACCCACCGCCTTTCTTGGGTACGATGAAGTAAGGGCTGTAAAACCCTGACCTGACCCTGAGGAATAGAGGGAAAATTCAAACGAACTAAAAACTAAAAACAACTGCTTTACGCCGAATTGCCGCTATTTCAAAGTGAAAGTAAAATGCACACACCGCTTTTACAAGCTATTTAAAAGCGAAGGAAAGTGAGGAAAAGAGGGAATGCCCCGCCCCCGCAGTGATACCGGTATTACCGGTGTTGTCACACATCGATTAACCGGTGGGAAAATTTCCTCACCATCACAACCCTACTGTGCGGCGGAGAACTGTTGGGCAAAACCCTCTACCGCTTCGCAGAATAGGCCGGCCTGGGAGATCGGGGAGTCCAGGAAGTGATGCTTGTCGGCCTCCCTCATATCCGCCAAGATCAGCCATAGGTGGCGCTCCTGGACCACCAGTGTGATATTGTCTGACCTAGGGCCCGCACTGTGACTTTCGTCTCCCTAAGTGCGAGGTCCGTCGCAGTACGCAGTTCCTGCAACACACCTGGGTCAGCACCACCCTCGTGCAAATGCTTCAACGCCTTGGCCTGGTGGACTTGCAGGAGGGCCATGGCGTGCAGGGCGGAAGCGGCCTGTCCAGCAGCACTGTAAGCCTTAGCTGTCAGAGCGGACGAAACTTACAGGCCCTGGACGGAAGGCGTGGATTACCCCTCCAGGCGGCGGCACTTTGCGGGCAGAGCTGCATGGCATGGTCATGTTCCCGCAATGAGAACATGACTCATCCATGAGCGCTTTCTCAGCATGCTGAAAGCCCAAGCACGAGATACAGCGATCATGACTGTCAGATGAAGCCAGGAAACGGCCACATCCAGAAACACGCGAGCGGGAAGCCATCTTTAAAAAGACGCCCGTCGCTCGTGGAGCTCTTTTAGATATTGCTCTTTTAGGATTTTAGGAAAACACTCTTTTAGAGAGAGCGCTGAAGCGCCCAGGGGAGGTCGCGGCGAGACTGCAGAATGGGAAGCTGCAGCACGCTGAAGAGAAGCAGCACTGGATGGCAACCCCCGCTGATGCGCCGTGACACCAACGCTAAAGGCTGTCTCGTAGACACTCTGAGATTCAGTCTTGCAAGAATGCTCGACTACGAAGCGAAAAGCTGATGTGTGTTCGCACGCTCTCTCCTTTTCTACCCGTGCTGCGGGGCGGGGTGCGCGTGGCGAAACATGCACGCCAACTGTCATTGGCTTGTTTAGTTAACACTCGAAGGTGATTGGGCTCTCGGGCGAGATCCCAATTCGTCAGTCACAACTGACGTAACATCGAACGTGACTGACTGAAAGGGAACTCACCACCAAGATGCTATGATTATTGTGGGTGGTTACTTATAGGCCCAAGATAAAAAAAGGCCACCATCAAGTCTTTATGAAAATTGATCTCTAGAATTTTCAGCAGCCATTACTTCAGTGTCACACGATCTTTCAGAAATAATTCTAATGTGCTGATTTGTTGCTCAAGTAGCATTTCTTAATATGATCAGAGCTGAAAACAGTTAAACATGATACATTTTGGATTCTTTGATGAATAGGAAGTTCAAAAGAACAGCATTTACTGGAAAGAGATTTTTTTGTCACAATGTAAAAGTCTGTCACTTTTGATCAATTTAATGCATCCTTTCTGAATTATTAAAAGTATTAAACATTTCATTTGAAAAAAAGACTACCCCCAAACTTTTGAATGCAAGACTGTTTTTTTTGTTATTATTATTATTACTATTTGCTAGTCATAAATCAAAAGTAAAAAATGAAGCACATATCAGGTTGTTTGATTTGGGTTACCATGTTCATATTCTTTTTTTTATACTTTATTTGTTGACAGATTTTGTTTTAAAACACACAAATAGAAAACGTAAACCAAAATATCTACCACAAGACACTCGGGTTCACAAAGAAAAAAGAGCAGAAGGAAAAAAAACAAAAAAAAATTAACAACAACAGTTACATGAGGTCTTACAAGAAATCAAGAAACACATGATACAGATAGAAGTTGAGGTGTACTTTGGAAGTCTAGCTATTGCTTGCTCGCAGTATATAACAATCCCATTTCTTCCTATAATTTCCCCCTTTATTCTTCTGTAACTGGAGGGAGAAGGTCATTTTTTCCAAAGAACATATTTGACTGACAATACTTAGAAGAAGATCTATATCAGGAGGATATTAAGCCAATTATTAAGATATTCTCTTAAGCCAACATTTAGTAACTGCTTTCTTACATGCAACTAAAAAAAATCTTTAATTGATAACTATCACATTTATTCAAACCCTCCAGGGGTTATAAAAAATCTGATCAAACATTTCCACCCAAAATCTCTCCAGATTAATGAATGAGTTGTGGAACGCTGAGTTTTCCATGCAAGAAGCCATACGTCTTCTGATATTTCCTCCCTCATGTCTTTCTCCCATCGCTGTCTGACACCAAAATTATGCACAAAATTAAAAACAAAGGGACCAAAAAACATACGTAATAAATTATTCTGATTTTATTGGCATTTTCTTTATTATAATCTGATATATTTCTGATTAAATGTTGTATTCTAGGCCTAATTATGGTGCTTGCTTTCACAAAATTTCTCATAAACATTCTTCTGCAAAAACTTACCCAGAACACCTTTAAAAACGACCTAGCAATGCCATTGTGATCACATTCAACATCTAAGAATCTGCCTACCAACACTATGCAACCACACAAAATGACTTTTACACATGTAAGCAACACTCCCATTTTACTCAGAAAATGTGAAATCTAGTTAATACATGTTATCAGACAAAACGATAGTGGTTTAATTTTATAGGTAATAAATACTCAACCTAATTAGTCAGACTGAAAATGTATGTTAATGAGCTGATTAAAATGAAGTAATTGACATGACACATAGTATTTTTTATATGGCTAGAAAAAAATATGTCCTCATAAATACGATTCACAGGGGCAAATATAATCCCTTAATGGAAAACGTAATTTCTGAAATTGGTGTGTACAGTAAAATGTTTTACCTTTATTCATGAAATGCCTCTAGAACCAGGAATCAGACAATAGAAGATATAATAAATTGTGTACTGTAGTGTGTGAGTGTTTGAGTAATACACACCTCTGTTCTTCTGCTCAACAGCCAGTTGTTTCTCTAGGGTTTCTCTGAGCTCTCGCTCTCTAAACAGCTCCATCTTCAGCTCCGTCTTCTCCAGCTGCACTTGTTTCTCCTGAGCACGAGCGTTATCAATTGCCACCTTCAGCAAACCCTGCAGCAGAATACAAACTCACCTTATACACAGTCCACACACACCTCCTCAGGAGTCAATGAACTGTATGAATGGTTTACTTTATGCTAGATCAGTAGCACTTAAACTTAGGAAAGTATTTTGAAGAAAACAATCAGTCAATAGTAACTCTTGTTGTACAGAGCCCCCGCATTTTTAAAAATATCATAGAAAAACAGGTTTGGAAAGATAAGAGTGTGAGTAAATGAAGACAGGACTTTAAATTTTGGATGAAATTCTTTAAATAAATTTATGAAAGCAACATAGACATAATGAGATCCTTAATAAACCTATACAGTAACTTCTGTTTGTCAGTTTGTGAAGCAGCAAGTTGTATTAGTGTGATCAAATCTTGAGCTAAACAGCGGCTTTTCTCAAAACAGCACTTCAAGCGGTATTTGCCGTGCAAACGCATGGTGACCATTTCGAAACAACTGTTCCCTGTATGCATGCAATTAAGCCAAATGCAATGGGCTATATCATACTAATTGTTTCTTCTTATGACCCCAATTTAGACTAAGTTGCTTTATCTCAATTTTCTGCTTGGGTTCGTTTTGTTGATTTGTGTGTGAATGTTCAATCAAAACATTACCCTGAAATCATGATTAAAGATGACTGATTGGTTCATTTGAATGTTTGTTTAGAAATTTGATTTATTTGGACATTATGTTTGGATGTTGTTTGATAGTTTTTTTGGATGTTTCACTTCAATCAGTTAAAAAGTCACCACTCAATACCATTTTCGAATATCTGCTGGAAAAAAAAAGCTTAAATCAGTCTAGGGTATTTTCATGCTCTCAGCTGGTTTAAGGTAGACTCCCAACATATCACTCATAACATATATTCAATATAAATTTACTCTAAAACAAACTTCTCACTTGCCTTACAGAATCATATTAATACACACTGAATAGTTATGACTGAATTTTACCAATTCACCAATTAGTAGTTAGTAGACCATCTGAATCAACCATGGAGAACTGTATCAAGTAAAAGTATTCATAGTGTGTTTCACTTTCTGCTAAATATCTTCTGACAGATAGGTCTCTTACCTGGATGTTAGTCAGAAGGGTCTCTATAGATGACAGGCCATCAGGGAAGAGGAAGGGTGAGGGGAATCCTGGCGGTAATGTCTGACCCGCAAACGAGAGCCTCTCATAACTGTCTCTTGCTGTTGGCGTGCACATGGGGGTTTCTTCTGGTGGCAAACAAAGAAACATACACATTCAGCACAACAGATGACACACTCCATGTAGTACTGTGCTGTAAAATAAATCATTATTTTCCCGAATTGGTGTTTATACACCCAGATTGTTTGTGAGATGTAAAATTAACATCTATACAAGCATGCCCAATCAAGCACGTATGATTGATAGCCCATTCTGTCAGCGTCACACGGCACACTATTATTGATGCTTCTGTATTTATAGCTGCTATAAACGCTTGAGAGATTTTACATACCGATAGAATGAGAGATTCTTCAGAAAAAAAAAATGGGCATTTGCATTTTTGGAAAGTATATGTTGAAGGCATGGATATGTTGGAAGACAAAGCCCACCCTTTCCATATGGCTTGAAAACTCTCTGATAAAAAAAGACTGCACTCAAGCAGATGCATATGGCAAGTAGAGATTATCAAGGGCCCTGGCTTCAACAAAGGCCATATGGCACAAGGTGGTGAACCCTCATTGACCATGTTTCAACACTACTGCCGCGCCCTCAGCAGACTGGCAATGCCATTTTAGGCAAATTAATTAAACCCCTCAAAGGAATCGGTGCATAAAAAAAATCGATATGATTGGATGAGATTCAAGAGGCACCTGGTAGAACAAAACAGAGGAGTAAAATAAATATCATTTATTCTCTCTCAGTCGATGGTTGACACATAAATGTGCAGGTGTAAAATGTCACAGGTGGGGCTGCAGTTAAAACCCTCTGGAAATAAAAGAAAAATTATTTTATGTCTTCCAGACAAATAAAAACATGGGCTGGCACATTAAAGTGTATATATTTTATCACCTAGTCCACTGGGACTTCCTGCTGAATGTCATAAGGAGAGAAACCGCTGGGATGAGCACTCTAAAGTAGACAGCATGTCTTTACAAATAGCTTTCTGAGATTAATCACCATGTCAACTTGTTAAACATTATGTGGGTAAATGAAAGTTAATTAAAGTACCCTGTGTTATAAAATAAAATAAAATAAAATAAATAAATGAAAAATAAAATTTTCTTTATAGTGTAGCAAATGGTTATGTTATAACCAACTTGCATTGCATTTACATTTATGCATTTGGCAGACACTTTAATCCAAAACAATTTACACTATATGCAAAACATTTTAAACGGTATGTGTTTTCTAGGAATTTAAACTTGGTTTTGTTGATTCTATGCTCGACCATAAGCTACAGGAACACATGCACTGCAATAAAAAAGTTTTTAATTTCTAAATTATTATAATTCAATATTTTTTTTAATGAATTAGAACTCCATTTCATAACCTATAGTCTGAGGAAAATCATTCAGTCTGAGTTCATAGTCTATTGCTATTATGACAATGTTTTAATTTAAATATTTGTCTGTATGCTAATTTATATATTATATATATATATATATATATATATATATTTTTTTTTACAAAGAATATTGTATTGAATCTTTTGAATGAACACTATTTTATAAAATAAAATTATTAGAAATACTAATTATTAGAGATACATTTTACATTTTGTGGAAATCAGTTGACAGCAGGGACAAGTAAGGAGGCATAAAAACTAAATAATCAAATGTGTCAGTTAATTTGCCCTATAATACATTGAGTGATGTATCATTCTAAATGCATGCCTAAATATTTTACAATTTATTGTAAATAATTGTGATACAATAGTTGAGGTTTGACCCTATATTCTTTTCAATTACCAGCAAGCTCTTTAACCATTTTATTACATACATAAAAAAAAAAGAAAAAGAAAAAAAGTTTTCTAGTCCTCTGAGTATGTGAGCAGCATCTGAAAGAGAATAACGTGAGCGTGGACACTGAGCAGATGTCCGGTGGGGCTGAAATGTAAAGCAGATTCCTGCTCACTTCCTGTGAGCAGCCACCAGTGCCTGTCAGTGCCCTGATGACATCATCTGCCATTCGTCAGTTCCGTTAGGGCAGACCTCTGCCATCTACTGCACTGACCATCATAACTCTACATCTATCTCCACACACACAGACACACACTCGCTTACACACAGACCATCAAACATTTATCTTAACAGCCACAGCCTTATAGAGGCTATCATAGGCCTGCATCCATCACTACACTCTTAAAAATAAAGGTGCTTCACGATGCCATAGAAGAACCTTTTTGTCTAAATGGTTCCATAAAGAACCTTTAACATCTGAAGAACCTTTCTGTTTCACAAAAGGTTCTTTGTGGCGAAATAAGGTTCTTCAGATTACAAAAAGGTAAGAAAGAGATGGTTCTTTAAAGAACCTTTGACTGAATGGTTCTTTGTGGAACCAAAAAGGGTTCTTCTATGGCATCGCTTGAAGAACCTTTTGAAGCACCTTTATTTTTAAGAGTGTACAGGTCTCATAACCCCCTAAATCCATCTCCACACACACATGCACAAACATGTACACACAGACTATCATAACTCACTTTAAACCACACAGCCCTGCGCTGACACTATCTTCACGCTGTCATAGCGTGCTGCCAATCACAGCAGAAGTCCCAGACAACATTCTGCCTGCTACAAAACGAGACATCACACAGGCCATGTCACAAACTACCAGAACACAACAGGATGATTCAGACTGTCTAAAAGTCAAGAATGTCTCAGTAACACATTCTATAAAGCCTATAAACTATATTCATAATAATATTATGAAAGGGAAATTGAAAATGCTTTTTAACACACACTGTAGTTCATTATCTATTATGGATGCACAACATATCAAGAGTCAGAAGTCAAAAAGAGCTTTATTGCCAAGTATGTTTACACACACAAGGCATTTGTCTTGGCGATATGAGCGTCCAGTGCAGAAGAAAGAGACAGACAGTGCAAACATACAGTACATGATAGTGCAGACATACATAGGAATTGCACAGTAGAGATGACATATAACACAATTATAAGAAAAACACAAGTTTAAATAATGCAATATAATACAGAAGTAGAAATATAGAGAAAACAAAACATATAATTGTTTTAATGAATGTACAGATATGTTATTTACAAGTGTACAGTTTATGTAGTTTACAAAATAATATACAATTTTCAGATGCTATGTATAAATGTGCCAGTTATAATGGACAATGTGTATAGTTATAAAAGATTTAATTGTTCAGGCTGAATATAGCCTGTGGGAAGAAACTGTTCTTGTGCCTGGCTGTTCTGGTGGTCAGTGCTCTGTAGCGCCGACCAGAAGGAATTGTTTTAATGAATGTACAGATATGTTATTTACAAGTGTACAGTTTATGTAGTTTACAAAATAATATACAATTTTCAGATGCTATGTATAAATGTGCCAGTTATAATGGACAATGTGTATAGTTATAAAAGATTTAATTGTTCAGGCTGAATATAGCCTGTGGGAAGAAACTGTTCTTGTGCTTGGCTGTTCTGGTGCAACAGTTAGAGAGTGGGCTAGATGTGAGGGGTCCAAAGTGATTTTCTTAGCCCTTATCCTCACTCTGGAGGTGTAAGGATCTTGGAGGTTGGGCAGGGGGAACCAATAATCTTCTCAGCAGTCCTGACTGTCCGTTGTAGTCTCCTGATGTCTGATTTGGTGGCTGAACCAAACCAGACGGTTATGGATGAACACAGGACAGACTCAATGATGGCTGAGTAGAACTGTTTCAGCAGCTCCTGTGGCAGGTTGAATTTCCTCAGTTGGCAAAGGAAGTACAATGGCTGAGGCAGATGATGGTAGTGTCATCTGCAAATTTCAGGAGCTTGACAGAGGGGTCTTATGCAGTGCATTTGTTCGTATACAGGGAGAAGAGCAGTGGGGTGACCACACATCCCTGAGGGGCGCCAGTGCTGATCGTGAGAGTCCTGGATGTGAGTTTACCCAGCCTCACTAGCTGCTGCCTGTCTGTCAGGAAGCTGGTGATCCACTGACAGATTGGGGAGGGCACAGATAGCTGGGTCAGTTTGGCTGTGAGAAGAACAGGCACGATAGTACTGAAGGCCAAACTGAAGTCCACAAACAAGATCCTTGCGTAAGTCACAGGTCTATCGAGATGTTGCAGAATATAATGCAGTCCCATGCTGACTGCATTATCCACAGACCTGCTTACTCTGTAGGCAAACTGAAGAGGATCCAGAAAGGGTCTTCACAGACAGAATGTTGTTCATGCTAATTTTTTTCTCAATTTATCTAATTTGTTATAGAATTATAAATAATGTTTTATACAAATAATATAGATATTTAATTATATGTTTAATTAAACTTTTTAAAATTAAACATGTTTAATTAAATATATAATTCTTATTTATTTATTTATTTATTAATCTAAAACAATAATCATGTGGAATACGCTTTAGGTGTTTGCTTTAAGTGTGAGCAATATTTTATTATATATTCTATTCTATTTTATTCTATTCTATTCTATTTTCATGAGAACACAACTGATCATAAAGTGTATTATAAGGTATTACAAATACCTTTTTTAATTAATAATATACAATAGTACATTAAAAGCCTACAATTCTATTTTTCATGCATTTCAGTTTAAGTACTAAACCCCAGAATCAGGCTCTCATACAGAATTAATTTGTGTTTATATGACTCCCTAAATCATACACAAACACGGCATGACTTGAGGAGCCCCTCTTCTGCCATCAGTATTCACCAACGCCAGCCAAGGCTTGGTAACAGCTGGTCCTACATCAATTAGTTTAAAGTATTTATTTCAACCATATCAGCAGCAGATTGTGGCAAAACATAAGAGATTATTATGAGCATCTGCAAATGCCCTGGAAACATCCAGCCAACCAACAGTTGAATATCAGCCGCCACTATTAAGACTTTACGAGTCCAAATTCTTGGATAGAGGAAAGGCAGAGAGGAGTGCAGGGAATCCGTGGAGGGTCTCCTACAATCTCTCCCCAATTTAACAAGCATTTTACTCCAGTTCATTATAATGGGCGACCGATTAATGGATGTGTGTTTGCTTGCAATCAAATGTAACGGGGGGAA